GTGCCTGTAATCCCAGCTACTCAGGAGGCTGAGGCAGGAGAATTGCCTGAACCCAGGAGGCAGAGGTTGCGGTGAGCCGAGATTGCACCATTGCACTCTAGCACTGCAGTCCAACCTGGGCAACAAGAAAGAAACTCCGACTCAAAAAAAAAAAAAAAAAATTTGGCTCTGAAAGATCGAGTTCCCTTGCTGCAATGAGGGAAAGCCATCCTAGTTACGCCCAGATTTTCTGGTCTACAAAGTTCTGCTCCACACTGCCTACCTCTGGAACTAAAGGCAGCCCTGGCAAACTGCATGTCCCCAACTCCTATCCAAAAGGACTAGACATCATCGTTCTTTCCCTCAACTCAGTTTTCTTCATTTGCAAAGTGGGAATGAGAAAGCTCTTTGTCTCCTGGGCAACTGTGAAAGTGAGAGGGGAAGGGGACTTCATGAACTAGGTGGTGTGGTGTCAGGTGCTGGGCACAGAAGCCCTGGGGACGCCCATGGGTGGTTGATGCCTCCTCTCCTGCTGGCCATCAGGGCAGCCCAGGAGCTCCCCTTCTTGAGACCAGAACCTAAGAGGAGCCTGTTTTGTCCATGGGGAAACCAAGGCCCAGAGGAGGAGGGGGTGCCCAGGCCAACCTCCGGATGCCTCTCTGAGTCCGTTTCTCTATCTGGGAAGTGGGCATCATGACATCAATATCATGGGGTTGGCTGGGTGTGGTGGCTCATGACTGTAATCCCAGCACTTTGGGAGGCTGGGGCGGGAGGATCACATGAGGTCAGGAGTTTGAGACCAGCCTGGGCAACATGGTGAAACGCTGTCTCTACCAAAAATACAAAAATTAGCTGGATTGTGGGTGGGGGGAGGGTGGTGGCACGTGCCTGTGGTCTCAGCTACTTCGGAGGTTGAGGCAGGAGGATCGCTGGAGCCTGTGAAGTTGAGGCTGCAGTGAGGCATGATTGCCTCACCACTGCAGTCCAGCCTGGGTGACAGTGAGACCCTGTCTCAGAAAAGAAAAAAAAATCAATTTAAATTTATAAAAAGCAACAAAACAAACCTCATGGGGTCGTTTGAGAGGAAGTATTGTTGGAGACAATATTTTCCCATGAGATCTTTAAACTAAGTTGACCCAGATTCAAATGCCCCCAGCTCGCCGTGAAAGTCTCAGTGTTTTAAGACAGGGTTTCACTGTCACCCAGGCTGGAGTGCAGTGGCACAATCTCAGCTCACTATAACCTCCATGGCTAATTTTTGTATTTTTAGTAGAGATGGGGTTTCACCATGTTGCCCAGGCTCGTCTCGAACTCCTGACCTCCAGTGATCCACCTGCCTCGGCCTCTCAAAGTGCTGGGATGACAGGCACAAGCCAGGGCACCTGGCCTCAGTGTTTTACTTCTCTGAGTCTTTGGAAAGGGGCCTCTCGTTCCACTCAGAGTGGTTGCAAAGACTCATCCACCCCTTTGTTCAGTGACTCATTTGATTCATCTGTTCATTCACAGGTACCGATAGTGTGTCAATATCTACGGGCACCAGGGCGATGACCAAAGACCAAGGACAAAAGTCCTGCCATTGCGGGCATCAAATCCAAGGAAGCAGCAGGAAAACGGAACAAATAAATATCGAAGACATTAATTAGGGGAGAGTAAAGCAGGGGCCAGAAAAAGCAGTGGCAGAAGCTCCCGAGGCCTGTCTGGGGAAGTGACCTTTGAGTAGAGACGTGAATAATGTAGGGGCAGTCACTGTGACATTATCTAACAGAGTGTGTCCAGGGAAGTGCCAAGGTCCTGGGGCAGGAGCGGTGGGAAATGAGGTTTGAGAGGTCAGAGATCCTGACCTGTAGGAGGAGGGATTCCAGGGTTCTGAGCAGGGGAGGGACGGGCGCGGTGAGATCTGCATTCAAAAGGGCTCCCCAGGCCGCTGGGAGAAGGGACTGCAGGAGGTAGGGGCAGCCCATCGCGCAGAGATGGCAGCCAAGGACAGGGTGATCCCGGCCCCCCGGGAGGTCCCCTGAATGCCAGCGGCTGCCCTGCACTTGCCCTCACTGCCCCCGATGGGCGAAGTGGAGTGGACACGGTTCTTGGGCCGGCCCTGATGATTTTCCGGGGCAAACTTGGCTAGAGGGCTGTCTTGCTGGAGCCTGGAATCGCAGTTGCGCTTGGGGCTTGGCCCAGGGCTCGCCGGAGGTCTCCGCGTCCGTGCGAAGGAGCCGGCTGAGCGGGCCAGAGCCGAGGAGGCGGGGGCGGCCGAGGGGGGCGGGGGCCAGGGGGCCGCCCTGGAGGTCCCAGGCAGCCAGCCGCCCGCTAATTCGGAATTCCTTCGGCATGAACTCGGGCGTGCCAGCGTCTCTGCCCTGGCCCACCCACCGCTTCCTGCCTGGGCCGCCCCCCCAGCAGAGTGGGAGGCACGGCCAGGCCTGCCCGGACCCCAGACTCCTCTCAGCCCTCCTAGAGTGGGTCACGCCCCTCCTGCTCCCCCCACCCACCACCGTGGCCTGGCCAGGAAGGGGCTCTCTGGGGGGTCCTGGCTAGGGGGCACTGCCCCTCTGCCACGCCCGCCTGGCCTGGGCTGGCGTGGCTCACTTGCCAGCAGCTGCAGCTGCCCTCCCGGGGCTGGGCGGGGGACACCGGGCGGCCACGGGTGGAGGGGGCAGGGCAAGGCCAGACGGGCCTGGGCAGGCCAGTCTCCCACCCCCTTAGCCCTAGTAGGCAAGGTCAGAAGGACGCTTTCTCCTCCCGTTCGCAACCCCAGTGGGAGAACCTGGGCAATCGACTTCCCCTCTCCAGTTCTCACTGTTCTCTTCCGTAAAATGGGAGGAGAAATACATTCTCCTTGCTGGGGAGATCAATGAGCTGTGATTGGATCCAATGTCCAGAGAGCTCAGAAGCCCACAGCTCCCGGAACTGTAAAGATGACAGGCCTTCCCAGCTCTGGGGTCCCGGGTGGCTTGGCACTCCCTCCCGGCCTCCGAAAACAATGGGGTAAGGCGCTGGGGACAGGGACGCACACATTCCAGGCCAGGCGGGGGAGCAGCTGGGAACAGCCCACTGAGCCTGAGGTGGGGGGGACTTGGCTTGGTTTGGAGGGCCTCCTAGAGGGCTCCCCAAAGCAGATCCCTAGGTTGGGCTTTTCAACAGCCCCGTTTTCACTCCCTGCCTCCCCTCCTTTCCCGAAGAGCTGGGGCCTTTAAAAGTTTTTTCTCTCCTCTTTTCCCAATCTGGAGCCACTGCCGTTATTAAAAAGGAACACCATGTGTTTTAAAAGGGAAAAGTGTGAGATTCTCTGCAACCAGGGCGGAAGGGTGGCCCCCATCCCAGGGTCCCCACGGGGGTCCCCACCTCCCATCCCGCTGGTACCTGCAGACACTTTACGACCCACCCGCCTGCTGGTCAGGTGCTAAGACACACCGTAAGTAGAAACATATTGCCGAGGTGTGAGAATCTTTTATTTAATTTCTTCCCCCTTAAAGGAAAAAACACACTTAACAACCCCCCCGCCCCCACACCTTCGCCTGCTGCTCTACTGACTGGAAAACAAAGCTTGGCGCTAACAGCCGCTGCCCACCACCTGGCAGAGCCGTCAGGGGCCCTGGGAGGGTCCAAGGTAGACCCTCACCTGCTCAGATGCAGGGGAGATGCCAGGGCACTCTCAGCAAGTGCCCCCAGAGGATGCCGGGACACTGCCCCTAACCGGAGGAGCCCTACAGGCAGCCTGCAAACAGCCCAGCTGAAGGCGAGTGAGCCTGGGAGCAGTGAGTGCCCAGCGACCCCCGGGGTGGCCCGTGCGCCTGGATGGGGTGCGTGGAGTGACCGCACGTCTGGGGCGAGTCGTGCCTGCCTTTGTGCCCCTGGGTCGCCTCCCCTGTGGGATGAGTGTGTGACCGTGATTGTGTGTCAGGGATGGAATGTGTGTGCGTCCGCGATGGTGTGCGAATGTACATCTGGGATGCAGTGTGCGTGAGTCTGAGGGCGAGGGTGACGGGCCACAAGCCAGTGTGATTCTTTGTGTCTCTGGGTGTGTCCCAGAGCGGGTCTGGATATAGAGATGTATCCTTGCGGGGGTGTTCCTTGGATGGGGGGCCCCAGAGTGCCTGAGGCCAGAAGTCCCTCCAGGGAGGGGGTCTTGGCTCGTCGGGCAGCGGGTTCCCAGTGGGCCACCTAAAAGTTTGGGCCCGCCGGTGCCGGGACTCACTGGCTCCTGCTCTCTCTCTCCCTCTCACCCACTCCCTCACAAAGATTCCTCTCGCTGGAGGCTCTCCGCCCGACACAGCCTGGCCGAAACTGTTCTAAGAGCCGCCGGTGGCGGGGACTCCGCGGATCCCCGTGCGCCGGGTCCCGCAGTGGGAGGGCGGTGGCGCCGGCCCGTGGAGAGGCAAGTCCCCGGGGAACCCGGGAAGCGCGCCAGGCGGCCAGAGCGGCCCCCCTCCAGCCCCGCCCTCCCCGTGGGGCTCATCCCTCCGACCGGGGGGGCCCCGCTGGGGACCCGCACCCAGCGCGCCAACCGCGTGCGCCCCCGCCTGGGAGCGGTGCCCCACAGTCCCCGCAGCTCAGAGTCGGCCGAAGCAGACTCGTGCGCCCGCTACGTCCTAGCGTGCAGAGGGTCCCAGGCCACGATCCCCCAGCCTCTGGGGGCCTGGCTTGGCACCCTGGGCCCAGCTGCCCAGGTAAGATGGCCTCGGGCGCGGAAGCCGAACTCTAGGGGTAGGGGACTGCGGCGCCGTGCGCCCCGCAGGTAAGGGCGCCCCGAGGGCTGCGCCGGGGGCGCCTTCCTTTGTTCCCCGGCCGTCCAGGTGGCGCCTGCGCCCCCTCCCCCCGCGGCTGCCCCCGGGGCGCCCGCCCTCTGCTCTGGCGTGGGGGAAGGAGTGGGGCGCAGGGTACTCACGGGCTCCTGATCCGGCTCGCGGCGCCCCGAGGACGCAGAGCAGCAGCAAGGGCAGCAACGGCGGCGGCCGCCGCGCGGATTGGGCGGCGGGGCCCCGGCGGCCGGCGGGCATGGGGCCGGCGCTGCCCGGGGCGCGCGGCTGGCGGCGGCTCGGCGGCAGCGGCGCAGGGCGCGGGACGCAGGCCGGGCGCGGGAGGGCGCGGGCCAGGCCGCCCGCACGTCGCTGGGCGCGGACGCTGAGGCCAGAGCAAGTCTGAGCAGCCGAATTGACAAGGCGCTAATGCGCCGCTGGCCCCGCCCGGCCCCGCCTCCGGCCCGGCCCGGCCCCGGGGGGGCGGCGGGCCCCGCACCGGCCTCCCCGCCGCCCGCCAGCCCGCGGGCACCGCGCGCCCCGCCCGTCCGGCCTCCGCCCCACCGGGAACTGCACGCGCCCTGTCCCGCGGCCCAGAGCCCCTAATCAACCCCCACCGGCCCAGGACCTCCCTCTCCAACCCTGCGAGCTCCAGGCTTCCCACCCCCAGTCTGGGACCCGGCACCCCCAATACCGTTTCCATAACCCTGCCCACTTCCCTGCACCCTCCTCTCAGCCCGCTGCCTCTTCAGTGGCCCCTGCGGTCCCCAACCCTGCCCGCTCCTCCATTTCCCCCCTCCACCGCCCAATCTTCTGTCTCGGCCCCCACCCCAGCTCTGGCCCCGCCCCCCCACCGAGCGGTCCCTGAGCCCCGCCTACCCCCATCTCCAGCCCCTCTGCCTTCCCAGGGGCCTAAAAGTCACCCCCAGCCCCACGCCCTCGGCGCGCGGGTCCCAGCCCTCCCACCTCATCCTGCCCCTTTTCGGTTCTCCGCCTGTAGCGTCGGCCCCGAGCTTTGCTGGAAGAAAAGAGAAAAAGCAGGAAGGCACGGAGTCCCTCGCCCTCGCCCTGGCTGCGCTGTCCCCCTCACGCGCGGGATGGGTTTGAGGTTGCTCGGGGCGGGAGCTCCTGCGTGGGCAGACGGGGAGATGTTGTCCCCGGTGGGAGCGGGGACCCAGGCCTGCGCGGGAACAGGGTCCCGCACCGCGGTAGGAGGGATTCCCAGGAGGAGAGCGGTAAGAAGTTCTCCCCCCCGGGACCTATTCACACCCCACCACGGAAAAATCCACTCAGCGGCCCGCGGGTGGGGTGCGCCACGCGGTGAGTAATCGCTCCGGCGGCCGCCGCCCGCCGACTCCAGGTAACGCCGGCTGCCCGGAGCGACGCATAGTTTGTCTTCCTTCTTTTGCGCAAAGAGCCTTCTCCGTGTTATTATTTTTGGCCATTGCTCGAGTTTCGGGACCCCTCCCGGCCCGGGCGCCTCATCTATCTCCTCCGGGTCCCCACCCGATGCGGGTGCCCAGGAATAAAAAGTTAGTGGCCTCCAAGGCTGCTGCGGATGGGGGTGCCTGAAATGAGAGTTAGGGGGTGCAGTTACCCACTTTGGGTCGCAGCCCCGCCCCCAGCTGCAGCGTCCAGGGAAGGGAACGCCTCCAAGTCCCCTTTTTTAGGAGTCCCTTAGGGGCCTGGATTCTCTCCCTCGGTCCTCAACAAGCCAAGGGGGTAAAAGTTGAGGGGGGCTCAGGAGCACCCACTTGTCTGCCCAAGACGGAAGCCTCACGCTCTCCTACTTAAATCTCCAGTTCAGACTCCAGACTGTCAAAAAGCAAGACTGGGGGATGGGGGCCTACGGGGGCCCTGGGCGCCCCTGCCCCATCTGAACTCTGGATGGAGAAGAGGGACAAAGAGAGACGCTGCCATTTACCAGGCCTTTTGTGCCTCAGTTTCTTTCTCTGCCCAATGGGCACCACCCAGCCTAAGGGCTTCCATGGGAAGATACAAGGCAGTGGAAGTCTCTACACCCTTAGCACAGCACTGCAGGATCTCCTGGAGCAGAGGTGACCTCCAGGCCTGCTTGTCCCCTCTGAAACATAGAGCCATCGTCCCACCTGCCAGGGGGCCCAGAGGGTTAAGTGGAGGTGGCAGTTCTTGGCTGGAATAGTTTTTAGGATACTCGACACTCCTCCCCACGGCCCCTGTTTGCAGATGCTCTCTCTGTGGGTACAGACCCTTTACCCACTCCTGGGAGGACTTCAGGCTTCTGGAGCAAAATGTTGATTTTTTTCCCCCTCCATTTAAAGGGCTCCCCCATCCATCCAGTTGCTCAGGGCAGAGACCTAGAAGCGCGCGTGACAACTCTCTCCTTCCCTCATCCCTCAGGTCCAATTCATCAGCAAATCCTGTTGGCTCTGGTTCCAAAACACATCCCCATTCTGAGACGCTAACCTCTTCTTTCCAACCCATTCAGATCCAGACCCCACGGTCTCCCTTAGGGATCCTTCCCGGCCTCCTCGGGGACTTCCCTGATAACTCTCTGCCTTTCTCTGCACACCAGGCACAGGGAGCTTTTAAAAGAAGAAAAAGCAGATCTTTGCCCTGCCTCCCTCCTCCCATCCTCTCCAATCCTCTTGTTCCCTCTCCTCTTCCCCCTCCTCTCCCTCATTCCACCCCAGCCACTGGAGCCCTGTTTCCCCAAACATACCAGGCTTGTTACTATCAAAGGGCCTCTGCGAATTGGCTGTTCCCTCTGCGGGAATGCTGTTCCCCACATCTTCCCCAGTTAGCCCCCTTCTCTTCCACCAGGTCACAGGTCCAGTGTCACCTCCTCAGAGAGGCCCTCCACCCTTCCCCCAGCAGTCTCCTTCTCCTTCACTTTGTTTTATTGTTTTTGCAATGCAACTGTTCCAAACACTTCATTCATTGTGCAACTGATTTTCTTTAGACTGTGGGCAGCCTTAGCCCCATTGGACCCCATGCTGGACCCAGTAAGGGCTAAAGGCGAAGCACTCACTAAATATTTGCAAAATGAAAGGATGGAGAATTCTCAGTCCCTCTAAGTAGCAAGAAAACTCAGTCCCAGCAAGTCATGCTGCCTGGGGTCCCAGCCTGGCCCTCGCTCTCTGTCTGGCTGTGTAACCGTAGCTGGTAGACATCCCTCTCTGTCCCTTACCAGTATAAGGGGAAGGACCCTTTCCAGTCCTGCCCAGCCCCACCGTGGAGTGTGACCTCTGCCCTTGGGTGACCTTTACCCCACACCTTTGACTTCAGGGAAAGGGAGTTGACCCCAAGATGCAACCTTCCCAGCCCTTAGGGTCCCCAGCAGTTTAACCCCTTCCTCCCCAGTTCCATCATCTCCTTGAGGACAAAAGGGAGCTCTCGTCAGTGGAACTTCTGGTAAATATTGACCCAAGTCCTTGAAGTTGGCTGGGAATGTCTAAGGGGCAGATGGAGGGCGGGCCTTTCCTTGGGCTGGGGGAGGGACCCATCCTGAGTCCTGTACCCTCCACTCAAAGGTCATCTCTGAAGGACAGGTATTAGGTTAGGGACCCTCCATCCCCAGCTTCCTTGGGATTCCAAGGCACTGAGGGTGCACCAGGGAGGGGCCAGTGGAAATGGGACCTTCAGGGTCCTGTGGGGACCCACAGCCACTGGGAGGAAGAGGGCGGAGCTGCCTTTCCCATTCTGAGAGCCGGGTCCTCAGGGGCCCCCAGTATAGGATTAGCTGCCTGGTGTTCCAGGCGGGTGCTTCCAGGAATTAAGGGACAGTGAGGTTCTGGATGTCTGGTTCAAGGTCTTTTCCTGGTTCACAGGAAAGTGGGGCCTGGGTGTGCCCTAGGCTTTATAATTTCTGCCCTGGAGGCTGAGCCTGGGGAGCAGGGATGCCTGGGTCCTCAGCTTAATGTACTCTGGACTTCCGGCCCTGGAGACCTGGCCTGGGGATTGCAGATCTGCCCCAGGGAGGCCAGTTTCCCTGCCCGTCTGCACCCTGAGGAGCCTCTGAAGTCTGGGTCCCACGAGGCACCAGCTGCTTGGGGGAGAAGGGGCAGTCACATCCCTCCTTCCTCCCCCAACAACCTTCAGCAACCACCACCGGCGCCATGGTGCCCTGCCTCCTCCCCAGCCTGTACACTGCTTGGAGGTGGGGGTCAGCAGGGTCGTGATGAGGGCGGCAAGGGACAAAGGGCGCTTGTCCGACGCCCGCCTTGACCTCGGCCGCTGTGGCTTCCCGGAGGCCTGGCCTGCCGCTGATTCACGCCCAGGCCGGCCTCAGCGCCCCCCGCGCGCCGCCCCCGGCCAGGCCGCCCCGGGGGGTAGGAAGTGGGGGGGGGGCGAGGGCGGCGCCGAGTCAACTTTCCCTCTTAAGCCCCGAAGGAATGTCGGCGGATTTCCTGAAACCCGACCCTGGCCGCCCGCCGGCCCGCCCGCCCCTCACCTGGACCGGCTCCCCCGGGAACAGCAGGAGGGGCGCGGGGGCTCACCTTGGGGGCCAGAGTCAAGTCCTCTTTCCGCTCACCCCCCCAGCGGCCTCGCGCAGCGGAAAGGGGGGTGGGTGGGCGGCAATCGGCCTTTTTCCCTTCTCCCCTCGGGCAACCTGGGCGATCGACCCACTCCTGCAGCCTCAGTTTCCCCTTCTGCAAAAGGGCGCGGGGTGTCCCTCCTCCCTGATGCGCTTTAAGCGATGCTTCTTATGCCCTAAGGCCCCCTCCCATTACTGGCAGGGCCCTGCCGGCTTTTCTTTGCTTCTCTCCCTGTCACCTGGACAGAACCACTTTGCAGTCTGAGCCTCATTTTCCTCATCTGTAGAAAAGGGCAACGCCTCCAGTACCTATCTTATACGGTTGTTGCAAGAAAAAGTGTTTTGTTTGGAATGAATGAAGGACAGTAATTGTGGAGGGGTTAGGCGCGCGGCGGGCCTCTGGAATTAACATGTGTGGGCTTGAATCCTGTCTTTGTCAACGCGTCCTGGAGCCTAAGTTTCCACCTGTGAAATGGGGGACAGTATTGCGGTCATAACGCACAGGGCTATTTCCCAAGGTGCCGGCCTGGCGCGCGGGTGGGTTAGAAGCCGGAGTTCCCCTGCTGGATTCTGGCGCAAACTGCCAGCTGGAGGCCCTCGCCGCCGGGTCGCAGCGGCCTAGCTTGGGAGGGGAGGGGAGGGGAGGGGAGGCAAAAGGAGGGGAGAGGCGGGGCGGGGCGGGGGAGGGGCCGCGCCGGGATCCAGATGTTCGGGGTCCGCCAGGCACAGCCGTGCCTGATTAAGCCACATGGGGGCCGGCCGGGGGCCTCAGAGATGAAAGCGCGGCCGCAGGCCATGGCGGGGGGGCGGGTGCGCCAGGCCCCCACCCCGGACCCTCTCATTCCGGGCCGGAACCTGAGGTGCCCTCTGACCCGTGGACCCTGCGAGGCTGCCGGGCCGTCTGCGGGGGCGGAGCGTGGGGGGGGGACGCGTGGGCGGCGGCGCGGCGCTGCAGGCACCTGCGTCAGGGATGCCAGCGAAAGCTGAGGCATCTTTGCAGAGAATCTGTGTTTAGAGGGGCGTCCCCATTCCCGTACCTGGCGGAGAAGAAGCTGGGTGGATACCCTAACCCGAGATTCGGCTCCTGGGGCTACAGCGCACCATCCGAGGGTGTGGTGGTTATGGAAGTCGGAAGTGTCGCTATTTGCCCCGAGTTTTCCCACGAGAATTAGAAATTTTAGCAGCTGCCCCTCCCCCTGCTCCTGAGGGTACCTCTGGGTCCCCTCCCACTAAGGCCCGGCCCAGGGGGTCCCCAGCCTTGGGGAGACAGGGCCAGATCCCCCAGGTCCGTAGATCAGGGCTGGACCAAAGGGAGGCAAAGCTGAAGGAGCAAGGGAGGGGCTCAGAGGGCTTCTCGGAGGAGGCAAACTGCTCACAAGTTGCCACCTCTCTCTGACCTGGGTGTCAAAGGCGAAGACGTCCGGCCTCAGCTGCCGGGTCCTGGGGCTCTCACCTTCCTCCCTCTCCGTTCTCTGGTTGGACTCCAGTCCCACTGCCCTCCCTCCTCCTCCACCAAGGAGCTCTTCTCCTCAGGGTCCTCGCTGACCCTCGTAGCCTGGACACCCCTTCCTCCTCTTTCCCGCGGGGTCGACTCACACCTTGCCTCCTCCGCCAGGCTCTCCCCAACACCCCTGGCGAATAGCCCCCTCCATCCCACCCCCTATCTATTTCCTTTTGGCCCCTAGCGCCAGCAGAAATCCGCCGCCTGTGGGCACCAGGGAGGTGTCCTGGGACCCCCGCGATGGGACAGACGGTGAGGGCCGCGATGCACCTGCCCCGCCAGACCCGCACCCCGCGGATGCCGCAGCGCAGCTCCCCCGCCCGCTCTCCGCATCTCCCACCCCCCCTTCCCAGGCTGCTTCGCTCGGGTGACGTCAGCGCTCCGGTCCCTGCCGCAGCCGCTGCGTCCTCCGTGCCCGGCCGGAGCCGGAGTCCCCCGCGCCCCCCGCGTTCGGCCCAGCCATGGCTGCGGTGGCGCTGATGCCGCCGCTGCTGCTGCTGCTGCTGGCATCTCCGCCCGCGGCCTCCGCACCATCAGCCCGCGACCCCTTCGCCCCCCAGCTCGGAGACACGCAGAACTGCCAGCTGCGGTGCCGCGACGGCGACCTCGGCCCGCGGCCCTCGCAGGTGAGGCGCTTGAGGGGCCAGGTGCCAGCCGGGGTACGCGGGATCTCTCCGAAAGGGGAGGGGTTGGGATGGCTTCTCTTGGATGACAGCAGGAGACTGGGGGAGGGTCCCTGGGGCGGGAGGGGTCGGGGATGGGGATGTCCCTCCTGTGGGGGACGTGCTAGGGGGTCTCTCCGATGGCGGAGGGCTTGGAGATGCAGGTCCTTGCGATAAGGACTGATACCACCTCCTGGGCTCCCTCTGCACTCTGCTGGGCAAGGACCCTCTAGCACCCAACCCCCAGCTCCCTCAGGCCTGACGGTCCCCCCACCTCACTCCTCCCCCTCCTCCACATCCTCTTCCCTCTCCACTGAGAGGTACCAGCCCCTACTCATACACCACTCCCCAGGATTCAAGTCTGATCTGAGTGTAACCAAAACCACCTCCTATGAGCCTCTCCCCCCTCCTAGGAGCCTCCCCTCATCCTCTAAGCCTGAGCCTCCCCCTATCCTCTAAGCCTGCTCGCCTCCTCTGAGCCGCTGCCGCCACCACCTCCTCCTCCTCCTCCTCCTCCTCCTCCTCCTCCTCCTCCTCCAGGTCTGAGAATCCTTCTCCATCTCTTCCCTCCTCCCTGGAGCCTGGGGAGGAAGCCTCATTTCTCTCCACCTTCACTGTCCATTTCTCTTCTTAAGCTCCCTCCCCATCTCCCTCCTCAGAGCCTCCGCCAATATCTGTAGCCTCCCCCCAACTTCATCCTCATCTGGCTAGATTTGGTGGGAAGTCGGAAAACCCTCCCCTGCATCTCCTGAAGGCTCCGGTCCACCCCCTCCTGCCCCTCCCCATGTCCTGAGCTCCGTGTCCCCCCCCACCCCAGGCGGGGCTGGAGGGCGCCTCCGAGTCTCCCTATGACAGAGCTGTTCTGATCAGCGCTTGTGAGCGTGGCTGCCGCCTCTTCTCCATCTGCCGATTCGTGGCCAGGAGCTCCAAGCCCAATGCCACCCAGACTGAGTGTGAAGCAGGTGAGGGCCCACCGGCAGGGTGGGCCAGGGCGGGGAGAGGTGGCCTGGGAGGGCCAACCCCAGTCACGCCCTCCCACCTCCCACAGCCTGCGTGGAAGCCTATGTGAAGGAGACAGAGCAGCAGGCTTGCAGCCACGGCTGCTGGAGCCAGTCCCCCGAGCCTGAGCCGGAGCAGAAGGTGAGCCTCCTACTGTGGCCTGGGGCCCCTTTTCCTGCGACCCCACCCACTTTGCCCCATGGGAAATCTGCATTCAGGTCCAGAGGCTCTGCCAGGATCTGCGTGATGTCCCAGGCCTGCAGGGTGACCTCGATCCAGCCCTGGCACATCTCCAGCCTGAGTTACCATCTCTATGACATGCACAGTGCCCCCCATGCCCCACCAACCACCTTTTCAGGAGTAAGTGGCAGAAAACCACCCTGTTTTATCAAACATCTGTCCTGGTTCAGGCCCGACTTCGACCTGTCCCAATTGTTTTGTGTCACTTGGAGGCACAAGGGACATTGTCACCCCCATTTAGTGCCCAGGGGCAACCTCCCAGGTCACGCACATTTAGGGCTGTGCAAGGGGCAAGACTTGAAGGCACCAGGGCCGTGGCCACACCTCACCTCACTCATCTTAGGCGGCCCCAGAGCTGCCAGGTGCTGGTCTAAGCCCTTCCCCTGGGATGAGCTGGCGGTCACTGTCACCTTGGAGGGGCTCAGAACCACAGCTCAGGGCAGAGCAGCCTTGCCTTGAAAGCACGCACACACCGCCTTGTGGAAGAAACAAAACGGCTCATCTGTTGCCGTCCAAGCAGTGCTGCATCAGGGGAAACTGAGGCACAGAAAGTCATGTAGCATAGCCAGAGATCCAGGGACTGGGACTCCCCAGAAAGCCCTTTCCCCGCTTCCCCCATTTTCCTCCACCCCTTCCAGGCTTTTACTGCTGTTCAGAAGAGCTCACTGCACTGTCAGCCCTTCCCATTCAGAGCTCCCTCTTTTTTTTTTTTTTTGAGATGGAGTCTCGCTCTGTCACCCAGTCTGGAGTGAAGTGGTGCAATCTCGGCTCACTGCAGCCTCCGCCTCCCAGGTTCAAGCAGTTCTTCTGCCTCAGCCTCCCCTGTAGCTGGGATTACAGGCACCTGCCACTACAATAGCAAATTTTTATATTTTTAGGAGAGAGGGGGTTTCGTCATGTTGGCCAGGCTGGTCTTGAACTCCTGACTTCAAGTAATCCTCCTGCCTTGGTCTCCCAAAGTGTTGGGATTACAAGCGTGAGCCACCGTGACCGGCCGTCAGAACTCCATTGATGGTGTCAAATAAGAATAGTGAAGATTATGAGATTTTCAGTAATAGGGGCTACCATGCATTAGGTGCTTGTCCCATGCCAGGTGCTTGGCAGACATCCTGTAGTTGAAATTTCATGGCTACTCCATGAAGAAAAACAATCACCCCCATTTTAGGGCTCGGAGAGCACAATCCACTCCCTAAGGGTACACAGGAGGCCAAATGCCACACTGAGATCTGCGTTCACTATAAGAAGTCCTACTGGCCCAAATCACTTCGCCACATCCAATCCAGTGAATTCTCCCAGCTCCTATTCATTTATTTATTTGAGATGGAGTCTCGACCTTTCACCCAGGCTGGAGTGCAGTGACGCGATCTTGACTCACTGAAGCCTTTGTCTCCCGGGTTCAAGCAAATCTTGTGCCTCAGCCTCTCGAGTAGCTGGGATTACAAACAGGCGCCACCACGCCCAGCTAATTTTTGTATTTTGAGTAGAGAGGGTCTCACCATGTTGTCCCAGCTGGTCTCAAACTTCTGGCCTCAAGTGATCTGCCTGCCTCAGCCTCCCAAAGTGCTGGGATGACAGGCGTGAGCCAGTGCGCCCTGCCCCCTCCCATTCATTGTTTAATCCCGTTTTTGGTGCCACCTTTGTGTCTTGGAACTTTTTTCGCCAGAGAAAGGTCCTGGAAGCTCCAAGTGGGGCCCTCTCCCTCCTGGACTTGTTTTCCACCCTCTGCAATGACCTCGTCAGCTCAGCCCAGGGATTGGTCTCCTCCACCTGGACATATTACTTGCAGACTGACAATGGGAAGGTAGTGGTGTTTCAGGTGAGACCCCCGACAGGGGCCATACCGGAGTGGCAGATGGGCAGGCAGGATGAGATGCTGTGATGCATTGGCTCTTGGCTTATGAGATGTAAAGTCCACAGTGGATGAGCTTCAGGCACAGCTGGATCCAGTGGCTCAGTGTCTCACTCCATGCCTTGACTGCTTTCTTCCGTCGTGGCTTCATTCCCAGGCATTTACTTCCTCTTGGCAGTAAGGTGGATGTCAGAGGCTCTAGGTTACAACTCCTCTGGTTTTTTTTTTTTAGATGGAGTCTCACTCTTGTTGCCCAGGCTGGAGTGCAGTGGTGTGATCTCAGCTCACTGTAACCTCCGCCTCCCGGGTTCAAGCGATTCTCCTGCCTCAGCCTCCCAAGTAGCTGGGATTACAGGCATGCACCATCACGCCCAGCTGATTTTTGTATTTTTAGTAGAGACGGGGCTTTGCTGTGTTGGCCAGGCTGGTCTTGATCTCCTGACCTCAGGTGATCAGCCTGCCTTGGCCTCCCAAAGTGCTGGGATTAAAGGCATGAGCCACTGCGCCCGGCCCCCTCTGAGTTTTTTTTT